AAAGCAGAGGTGTAAATATTTTTTAGTTTGCTCTAATAGGGGGTTGGGAAATGAAAATGAAAATAGGAAAGAAAATAGAAAGGAAAGCAAATAGAAAGGAAAAAAGGGAAAATGAAAGGGGAAAATGGAAAATGAAAGGGAAAAAGGGAAAAAAGGAGGGGATGCCGGAGGGTTTTAAGAGATGAACCCAAAATTGGAAAAGGAATATGACATCTGTTGAGAAACCACAGACTAATATCTGTTAATATCATGTAAAATAAAAATGAAAATAGGAATGGAAAAATGGAGTGGGAAAAGGTAAAAAAGGAAGGAAAACTGTGATGCCGGGGGGGTTAAAGAGAAAATTTATCGATTTGGTTTTAACTGTCTTTGACCAACCTTTTTGGGGGAAAATATCAAAAATTTTCCCTAAATAACATTTTTGTGTTTTCCCCTTTAAAAAGCGAATCTGTTTTATGAAAAACAGTATAACAGAAATACTTGATAAGGGCTTTAAGAATTTCAACTCAGTGAGGACCGTTGTTATTGACCTTTTTAGGGCAACAAAATGTTCATTGTTCGCCCGTTATCCCAAAAGTTTCTTTGCAAGCAAAGTTTTTCGAAGTTGTGCTGAGGAGGGGCGGGGGGGAGTCCAGAATTCCTCAACGAGTAATCACCGCCACCCAAATGTGTTTTGCGGCAAGCGCGCTCCTCAATTGGTAATCTCCACCACCTCAATTGGTTATCAGCCAAAATAAGCGTAACATTAAATCGGTTATTTCTTAAAAATAAGAACATATGGACCTCTGTTAATGGCCCTATGGTTTACAATATTGTTAAAGCTTTCTTTATTGCTCATTAGTTTCGAAAAAAATCTATAAATTTGGCACACTAAGCTCTAGATTACGTTTTTTTAGTTTCAAGTTTCGCTTTAAGATTAGGAATGTTTGCGGCATTTACCTCTGAATGTTATTGTTTTAAACTCCTTATAGAGAGGAAACTTTAACCCATTATTAGTGGACTAAATACTTCATTTTCAGTAGGGGGTGGGATGAGACTAATTTTTCAAAATTTTATGTTCTTTCTATGCATATAATTAGTTTTGTTGTAAATGTTGAACTCGAGTAGGCGAATACAAAAATCTAAACACTGTAAAGGTTTTTTGAAAATATCTTAATAAGCTGGATGGGAAAACAACTGAAGATTCACGGGTATTTTTCAAGGACAAGATTATATCAGGTATTAATAAATTCATCCCTTTTATACCCCGATATACAAGTAATCGACTACAATGAAATCAATTACAAAATGTATTAACCATAAACAACCTCACTACAAGGTTTACATGTTTACAAGGACTAAAGAGCATTTTAAGCGTTTTAAAAATCTGAGAAGAATTGCGAAAAAGCAGTTGGAGTCGCAAAGAAGCATAGATACAAATGGTAACAAGAAACCCTTCATCTCATAAATTAAATCTAAAACTATAAATTCCGAAGAAAGTTCTGCTACAGAATTTCCTCTGGAGAGTTTGAGCTGAGGACTCTTAACCCTCGAACATCCATAAAAGTTTGGAATGATATTTGATATTTTATAAAATTAAAAAATGTGTTCATGATTTCTATTTTGTTCAAAGTTGTAATTTATGCAAAATGGTAAAAATGATTAAGATATTATTTTGATGGGAGCGGGGGAACACAGTTGGGTTTTGATATAGAAAATATACAATTAGAACAAAGATTAATATATTAAATTCTACAATAAGAGAATTATTTAATAGAAGAGAAGTGATAATTTGAAGTTTTCAGTGCATGGTTCTTTTTTTGATGTGTTTTTATATGAGAGGAATGGTTGGTAATGTATTCACATTAATCACAGGGATATATCGCTCCTTCATGTTTATTTTCAATATGTATCTTCAGAATACCTGCTGTAGTTGCAGTGTACTCGCATTGATCGCATGGATATCTTTCATGTTTAGATTCAATATGTCTCTTCAGACATCTTGCTGTAGTGGCAGTGTGATCACATTGGTCGCATGGATATCTTACCCCTTTATGTTTAGATTTAATATGTTTTGTCAGACTACTTAGTTGAGTAGCTGCGTATTCACAATAAGAACAAGGATATCTCACTCCTTCATGTTTAGATTCAATATGTCTCCTCAGACTACTTGAAACAGTTGCAGAGAATTCACATTGGTCGCATGGATATCTCACTCCATTATGTTTATTTTCAATATGTGTCTTTAGATCACTTGCTGTAGTGGCAGCATATACACATTGGTCGCATGGATATTTTACTCCCTCATGTTTACTTCGAATATGTCTCTTCAAATTACTGGATTTAGTTGCCATATAATCACATTTTCCACAGAGATATCTCACCCTTTCATGTTTATTTTCAATATGAATCTTCAGACAATTTGCTGTAGTGGCAGCGTGATTACATTGTTCGCATGAATATCTTACCCCTTCATGTTTACTTCGAATATGTCTCTTCAAATTACTGGATTTAGTTGCCATATAATCACATTTTCCACAGAGATATCTCACCCTTTCATGTTTATTTTCAATATGAATCTTCAGACAATTTGCTGTAGTGGCAGCGTGATTACATTGTTCGCATGAATATCTTACCCCTTCATGTTTACTTCGAATATGTCTCTTCAAATTACTGGATTTAGTTGCCATATAATCACATTTTCCACAGAGATATCTCACCCTTTCATGTTTATTTTCAATATGAATCTTCAGACAATTTGCTGTAGTGGCAGCGTGATTACATTGTTCGCATGAATATCTTACCCCTTCATGTTTACTTCGAATATGTCTCTTCAAATTACTGGATTTAGTTGCCATATAATCACATTTTCCACAGAGATATCTCACCCTTTCATGTTTATTTTCAATATGAATCTTCAAACTACTTGCTGTAGTGGCAGCGTGATCACATTGTTCGCATGGATATCTCACTCCTTCATGTTTAGATTCAATATGTCTCTTCAGAACAAANTGTACCCTTAAAACCTTCATCTGATATTTAATATAGAAGATAATGTCGAGCTTTTCCATTTCTGCATTGTTATTTATACATAGATAAAAAATGTTTAACTTTACCTTGATTTTCTGTACTTTCCTCTTTTACATCTTCTCCCACTACAAATACAGTAAATGTATCCTCTACAGTAGAAATTTCTTCTTTAATAGTAACTTTTTCTTCTTCCATAATTTCTGCCATTCTCTCTGAAATATGTACATCGTACAATACATGTTATATTTCAAAGCTAAATAAGCTTTGAATTAAATTGAATAAAAAGCTAGAACTACAAACAAAGATTTACAATGATTAAAATTCACTCTTTATCTATCTATATATTTAGCTTGAAATCCACAAAAAAATATGATAACATCCGCAAACTTTCATGAAAAGAAAATGTTCGCAGATAGAGCCAGAAATAGGGTTTATAATGGAGATGGGCGTGAAGCGCTCTGAAAGCATAGTTTCTAATATGTAAGTAATAATCTTCTCAATAAAAGTTTCAGAAAACTAAAATAAAAAAAATAAAAAATAGCGACTGTTGGTGTTCGATTTAATTTAATCATGCATAAAAAAACCTACACCCACTTTTCCTCCGACCCAAAAATGACCTCATCAATGCAAGCATATTCTTGATGGAATCGCACAATAAACAGTGAAATTTTATTTTCAAAACGGTATTATATTAAATATTTATGTATCATGAACTTTTTGTTAGGTTTTCTAATTTTTCCTTTTAACATGAGTTTCCAGATCTGAATGTTAATTTTTAAGCATGAGTTTAAATTGTAGATTTATCACACTGATTACAAAGATGTTTAAATATTCCTTGTATCCCATGAATAAATTTGGAAACGTCTCCCCTGGTGTAATCAAAATAAATGAGAAAAAAGAAAATTTGAAGTTTACAATGCAAACTATTTCTTAATTAATGTTTCCTTTTTTGATGTGCTTTTAAAAGGCAGGATTGGGTGGCAAGGTATTCACACTGATCGCAGGGATACCTCACTCCTTCATGCTTAGTTTTTGTATGTTTCCTCAGACTACTTGAAAAAGTTGCAGCGAATTCACATTGATCGCAAGGATATCTCACTCCTTCATGTTTATTTTTGATATGTGTCTTAAAATTACTGGATTTAGTTGCCACATAATAACATTTTCCACAGGGATAATTCATATCTCTTTTATCTCTCGGCCTACTCATCTTAAGTCTCTTTTGATCAGAGAAAAGGGGATCGTCTTTAATCTTGACAATTTCACCTGAAAAATAAATCAAAATATTATATTAACCTTAAGTATCTCGCATGGTTTAAAATTTTTTAATAATATCTGAAAATGCAGTCAATTGCGTTAACAGTTTATAGATTTATGAGCCTAAAGTACTAAAGAAGTCATAAATCGATCATCCTAAAAAAATATACGTAGAAGTTGTTTACCCATACCTTGATTTTCTGTACTTTCCTCTTTTATATCTTCTTCAGCTACATACACAGTACATGTATCCTCTACAGTAAAGATTTCTTCTTTGATGGTTACTTTATCTTCTTCCATAATTTCTGCCATTCGGTCTGAAATGTGCACTCATACAATACATGCATGGATCAACTATAGGATAAATTGTTGGCGCGGTCCGCCCTGCCCAACTTGCTCGGCTGAGATTTACTAATTATACAGCTGGATATACGTGCATAAATTGAGATATTCAATTAATCGACCTGTAGGTTTTAGGGTTATCATAAATGCAACATTTCTGCAATATAAACTGTCCACAGTGGGGTTATTTATAGTGAATTAGACCAAATGTCACGTTGTGTTTCTTCTTAAAATTAATGAATTTCATTGGTTTTACTAAAATAATTTTCAATAACAATAATTTTTACAATTCATTATAGCGCTTGTGTTGACATATTTGACACATACTTATAGATTTGAGTTTCTATTTCTGGACTTAATTTTGTTTAAAATATATTATATATAATCTAAAAGATTTGTTGCTGCTACTGTATTCCTGAGGTTCGTAGAATTTAATTGATATGCACAAAGCCATAGTTAAAACATTTTCATTTTTGGAGGTCATTTAGGTCATTCGAGGTCGTAAGAGGTCATTAGAAAGTCAAACACTGTATTTGTTGCTACTACTGTATTCCCTGGGTTCCTAGCTTTCCTTTGATATGCATAAAGCCACAGTTAAAACATTTTCACTTTTGGAGGTCATTTAGGTCATTAGAGGTCGATAGAGGCCAGTAGAACGTCAAACACTGGATTCGTTGCTGCAACTGTACTCCTGGGGTTCCTAGCTTTCGTTTGATATGCATAAAGCCATAGTTAAAACATTTCATTTTTTGGAGGTCATTTAGGTCATTAGAGGTCATTAAAATTCAATTTTACTTTATTTTAGGAATTTCGAACACTAATTAGGCGTGCAGCCAAAAAATTGGAAGATTTGAACCAAAAATGAAGGCCCCCCCCCCTACGTCAAATGTGCCAACTCCACCATCCCTTTTCAAAGAAAAATTTATTTAGTCCATTTGAACATTTTTTTTTGTAGAAAAAGTTCATTAGGACTAACGTTCATTGGTACTAAAATGTTCAAAAAAAAGTTAGTCCTCTTGAAAAAATGTCTAACTAGAAAGTGTTCATTAGAAAGTGGTTTTTCATCAACTGACTTTAGTCAAATTGAACGTTAGCTAAATCGACCTTCATTCATATCAATATTATGATATAGCATCCGGATTACATAGGGAACAGGGGCTACTGGGGAAAATAAAATAAATGGAGAAAAAAAAACTAAAAACATCTAATCCATCCATGAGAAACTAACATATTATCTAAAAACTTTTCAACTATTTCTAAGTTTACCTGTATTCCTGTATCTTCAGTATGGAGGATGGACGGATTTACTCAGCTCTAATATATTTAACTCTTTGTTTTAAGTCTTTTCCATTCTATCTGAAAAAAATATGGATTGCATATCAAATGAAAACAAAACTGCTGTACACAATTTGGTCAAAAATATTAAAAAAACATATTTAAAAAAGTTTATATAGTATGAGACAAATATCCTTTCATAAAAGTTTAGAATGATAATTGTTATTTCTTAAAATTAAAAAAATGTTCATAATTTCTATTTTGTTCAAAGTTGTATTTTGTCAGGGAATAATCTGCAAAAAGGAAAAATGATAAAAATATTATTTAAGATAATGAGAATGATGAGGGGAGCAGCAGGGGAACACAGTTGGGGTTTGATATAGAAAATATACAATTCGAACAAAGATTAATATATTAAATTCTACAATAAGAGAATCATTTAATATAAGAGAAGTGATATTTGAAGCTTACAGTTCGTGGTTCTTTTTTTGACGTGTTTTTAAATGATTATGATTCACTTCTTCATGAATATTTTTAATATGTATCTTCAGACTACCCTTCCCTTATTCCTTCTCTTTTTCCTTCCCTTCCCCTTCTTTTGGGTCCTTCGAAAACAGGTTATGAATTAGCTTTGAATAAAATACAAAGATTTTAACTTAACCTTTGTTTGTTTCAGTTTTCGATTTTAGAGAGGATAGATACTTCAAGGAAGCATAAAAAATATATTATAAGTAATCAAGAATTTGGTTTTAACCATTTCAAAAATCAAGATTGAAACATAAAAAAAATTGATATTCTCAATAATTAATAAAAATCAATACTTAAAACAAAATCAGCTTACTGGTTACTTTATCTTCTTCCATAATTTCTGCCATTCTCTCTGAAATTTGTAAAAAAAACATTTTATACTTTTTAGGGTAAATAGTCTTGTAAAATGAAGTGAGTAAAAAATAGAATTGCAAACAAGAATGGGTTATCAAGGTAAAAGCATGGTAAAATGAGCAATCAGGATTTTTAAAATTAGGACCAACAATTTGCTGAAAAAAAGGAGATTGACTGGAAAAACCCAGCTTACTGCAGGCTAGGTCAGGCCGAGACAACTTAAAGATACGGGGCCGAGCAAAACCAAACCAGCCTGGATGATAAAGGTTAAGAAGTTAGATGACCATTGGTTAGTCCTACATACTCCCCTCTCCCTCCTTTTCCCATTTCCCTCATACTTTATCCCCCAGGATCCTAGCTAACGCTAGAGAGGGGTTGCATTTTGGCATTGATTTCAACAAATTTACAACCCCTCTCAGACACTGTCAGATCAACTCATTTGGAAAAAATGACATGAACAGCTGATCTTTTTCATAAAAAAGACGACTTTTAAAAAGATCTTTCAAAAGAAAAAGACGATATCTTAATTTTCAGATTGGACAGTGGACACAGATTAAAAAATTATTATTAAACAAAATAATAATATTAAGGGGTGAAGCGGAACACAGTTGGATTTTGATATAGAAAATATACTATCAGAAAAAGATTTATTAATTATATATATATATGAAAATTTCAAGTTTGCAGTGCAAAGTTATTGATATATCTCCTTTTTTGATGTTTTTTTTTTTAAAATGACAGCATAGAGTAGCAACGTAATTACACTGATAACCTGGATATCTTAATACTTAATGTTTATTTTTAATATGTCTATTCAGATTACTTGGGTCAGTTGCAACATATACACACTGATCACAATGGTACCTCTCTTCACTATGTTTAGTTTTAATATGTCTCTTCAGACTTCTTGGGTAATTAGCAACGTATTCACACTGATCACAGGTATATCTCACTCCTTCATGCTTATTTTCAATATGTTTCTTCAGACCACTTGCTTCAGTGGCAGCGTATTCACAGTGAGAACAAGGATATCTCACTCCTTCATGTTGACTTTGAACATGTGTCTTCAAATGATTGGATTTAGTTGCAACATAATTACATTTTTCACAGGAATAACTTTTATCTCTTTTTTCTCTCATCTTCCTATTTTTAAGTCTCTTTTGTTCAGAGAACAGGGGATCTACTTCAATCTTGATATTTCCGACTGAAAATTTAAAAAGAGAATTAATAAGATATTAAATTAACCTTAAGTATCTCAGATGAATTAAAATTTTTATTAATTTCTAAAAATGCAGTAAATCAAGTTATGAAAAAGTCAAAAATCGATCATCCTATAAAAATATGCAGCAAAAAATGTTTACCCATACCTTGATTTTCTGTCTTTTCTGTAATTTCCTCTTTTACATCTTCTTCCGCTACAAATACAGTGCACGTATCTTCTACAGTAGAGATTTCTTCTTTAATGGTAACTTTATCTTCTTCCATAATTTCTGCCATTCTTTCTGAAATATGTACAAAACATGTTATGATTTTAAGGGTAAATAGTCTTGTAAAATAAAATGAATAAAAAATTAGAACTGCAAGCAAATATTTACAATGATTGAAAAGAAGTAAACGCCAAGAAGGGGTTGTTGAGGTTAAAGCATCGAATGGTATTTGAAGTATTTTGTAAATTTCCCAAATACCTGGGTATCTGAGAAATTTCCTAAATGCCTGAGTATCTTTAAATTTTGTTCAGATCTTTTATCAATCGTCATATATGTTACAGAGATATCTATTCATTCCTTATTCCTAACTTTTAGCTTTTTTGATTTAGCCTCAATACTTCTAACCCCTAAGGCTGTAACCAGTAGGGGGAGGGGTCTCCTCCTGAAATTGGGGAACGTTCCCCCTTGTAGAATATTGGAACGCAACAACAGTCCAAAATAATTTAATTTAGAACAAATGGAAATTAAAAAAGAGAAAACAAATAACCCACGAGTCATGGTTATGAGATAAAAATTACCAAACTGCATTTTAAAAATTTCAAATTTTATTTCCCAACATTTAACTAAGGATGGATTTAGTTGCAACATAATTACATTTTTCACAGGAATAACTTTTATCTCTTTTTTCTCTCATCTTCCTCTTTTTAAGTCTCTTTTGTTCAGAGAACAGGGGATCTACTTCAATCTTGATATTTTCACCTGAAAAATTTAAAAGAGAATTAATAAGATATTAAATTAACCTCAAGTATCTTAGATTTTTAATAATTTCTAAAAATGCAGTCAATCAAGGTATGAAAGAGTCAAAAATCGATCATCCTATAAAAATATGCAAAAAATGTTTACCCATACCTTGATTTTCTGTCTTTTCTGTATTTTCCTCTTTTACATCTTCCGCTACATACACAGTACATGTATCCTCTACAGTAGAGATTTCTTCTTTGATGGTAACTTTATCTTCTTCCATAATTTCTGCCATTCTCTCTAAAAAATGTATAAAACATGCTATGCTTTTAAGGGTAAATAGTCTTGTAAAATAAAATGAATAAAAAATAGAACTACAAACAAATATTTACACTGATATAATAAAAAGAAGTAAACGTCAAGAAAGTGTTGATGAGGTTAAAGCATCCTTTGGTAAAAAGAGAAATAAGTATGTTTATAATTAAGACCAAAAATGTGCTGAAAGAATGAGGATCTGAATGTGAATCTTCAACACGAGAGTTTTAGTTGTATATTTATCACATTGGTTAAAAAGATATTTATTTAATCCTTGTTCCAAACTTTCAGAAGAGAGTGACAGCAATTAATAAAAATGTCAAAAATAGGAATTTCCCAAAAACAAAGGTATTTGGGAAATTTCTAAAATATTTTAAATGCACCACCATCAGATTCCAAAAGGAATTTGGGAAATTTGGGGAATTTCCCAAATGACTGGGTATCTTGGAATCTGATGGTGGTGTAATTGAAATATTTTGTAAATTTCCCAAATACCTGGGTATCTGAGAAATTTCTTAAATGCCTGAGTATCTTGAAATTTTGTTCAGATCTTTCATCAATCGTCAGAAATGTTACAGAGATAATTTTTATTCCTTATTTCTCACTTTTAGTTCCTTGATTTATCCTTACTACTTTTTACCCCTAAGGATGTAACCAGTAGGGGGAGGGGTCTCCTCCTAAAATTGGGGAACGTTCCCCGTTGTAGAATATTGGAACGCAACAACAGTCCAAAATAATTTAATTTAGAAATATTTTGTTTCAAAACAAATGGAAATTAGAAAAGAGAAAACAAATAACCCACGAGTCATGGGTTGTGAGGTAAAAATTACCAAACTGCATTTTAAAAATTTCAAATTTTATTTCCCAACATTTAACTAAGGAAGGAAAAACCAAAATAAATGAGGGAATAGACAATATGCAGTTTACAGTGCAAAGTACTTCTTAATTAATATGTTTCCTTTGTTGATGTGTTTTTAAATGACAGGATTGGGTGTCAACGTACTCACATTGATCGCATGGATATCTAACTCCTTCATGTTTAGATTCAATATGTCTCTTCAAATTACTTGCTGTAGTGGCAGCGTGATCACAATGGTCGCATGGATGCCTCACTGTTTCATGTTTATTTTCAATATGTCTTCTCAGACTACTTGCTGATGTAAAAGCATTCTCACACTGATTACATGGATATTTCACTCCTTCGTGTTTATTTCTAATATGTCTTCTCAGACAACTTGAGTCAGTAGCAACGTATTCACACTGATCACAATGATATCTCACTCCTTCATGAACAGAGTCCGTATGTCTCTTCAGATAACCTGCTGTAGTGGCAGCGTACTCGCATAGATCGCATGGATACCTCACTCCTTCGTGTTTAGATTCAATGTGCTTTTTTAGAATCCATGCTGTATTGGCAGCATATACACATTGGTCGCATGGATATCTAACTCCTTCATGTTTAGATTCAATATGACTCTTCAAACTACTTGCTGTAGTGGCAGTGTGATCACATTCTTCGCATGGATACCTCACTCCTTCATGTTTAATTTTAATATGGCTTCTCAGAAAACGTGGTTCAGTAGCAACGTATTCACACTGATCACAGGGATAATTCAATCCTTCGTGTTTATTTTTAATATGTCTTCTCAGACTACTTGGGTCAGTAGCAACGTATTCACACTGATCACAGGGATATTTCAATCCTTCGTGTTTATTTTTAATATGTATTTTCAGACTACTTGGGTTAGTAGCAACGTATTCACACTGATCACAGGGATATTTCAATCCTTCATGTTTATTTTTAATATGCCTATTCAGACTTCTTGCTAATGTAAAGACGTTCTCACACTGATTACAAGGATATTTCACTCCTTCATGTTTATTTCTAGTATGCCTACTCAGACAACTTGGGTCAGTGGCAACGTATTCACACTGATCACAATAGTATCCCACTCCTTCATGTTTATTTTTAATATGATTTTTCAGACCTTTTGCAGAAGTAAAAGCGTTCTCACACTGATCACATGGATATCTGACTTCTTCATGTTTAGATTTAATGTGTAACTTTAAATTCCATACACCAGTTGCAACATATTCACACTGATCGCAGGGATATCTCACTCCTTCATGTTTTATTTCAATGTGTTTTTTCAGATCACGTGATGTAGTTGCAGCATACACACATTCTAAACAAGGATATCTCACTCCTTCATGTTTAGATTCAATGTGAATCTTCAGACTTCTTGCTGTAGTGGCAGCGTATTCACAATGAGAACAAGGATATCTTATTCCTTCATGTTTAGATTCAATATGTAACTTCAGACTCCTTGGTGTAGTTGCAGCGTACTCACATTGGTCGCATGAATATCTCACTCCTTGATGCTTATTCTTAATATGCATACTCAGATAAACTGCTCGACTGGCAGCATACTCACATTGATCACAAGGATATCTCACTCCTTCATGTTTAGATTCAATATGCCTCCTCAGATCTCTGGCTGTAGTTGCAGCATATACGCATTTTAAACAAGGATATCTCACTCCTTCATGTTTAGATTCAATATGGCTCTTCAGATCTCTGGGTGTAGTGACAGAGTACTCACATTGATCGCAGAGATATCTCACTCCTTCATGTTTAAATTTAATGTGCATCTTCAGATTACTTGCTGTAGTGGCAGCGTGATCACATAGCTTGCATGGATATCTCACTCCATGTTTATTTCGAATACGTGTCTTCAAATTACTGGATTTAGATGCCACATAATCACATTCTCCACAGGGATAACTTTTATCTCTTTTATCTCTCAGTTTACTCTTTTTAAGTCTTTTTTGTTCAGAGAAAAGGGGATCTACTTCAATCTTGACAACTTTGCCTGAAAAATTCAAAAAGATAATTTAAGAAATATCAGCCTCAAGTATCGTAAAATTGATCATGAACTTTTATTAAAATCTTAAGATTAAAGGGAATTTCATTGTAATTTCAAGTGACTCTGCATTTAAACTCAGGGGCATATCTGATTCACCCTTTAAACTTGGAAATAATCAGTTAAAAAAAAATTTAGAAATCTAATTCATTAATGATCAAACAAAGTTTTGTATAATTTTCAAGCTGAAATGTCATCCCTTTCATTAGTGAATAAAATATCCCAGTTTTATATAAAAACATTTTATAATATTTCTTCAGCTGATTTCCCAACTATCTAATCAAATCATGCTGTCAGGGAGTCCTACTATCTGTGTAAGATCCTATAGATCTAAATGTCGTCTTTGTTCAGGGTATCTCCAAACTAAACGAGGAATGACGAGCTGCGAACTCCCGAAGAGAGAATACAGCTGATTTCAAGAACCTCTCTAACTTATAAACATTTAAACCGTGAACTATAGACTATTCTCAAAACTATACTCTCATATTTAGATATTTATTCTTATGATAACTGCAAATATTTATTACTATATAACTGCATTTACCCATATATTAAACCAAATATTGAGAATGTTTTATGTATCGAACTCAAAGTTTTATTCTTAAATAGCAGTAAAAAGTCTAGCCAGCTTTTCTTTATAAAAAGAAATAACTTTATATTTACTTTCAGAATTAGAATGGGTTGATTACCCCATCTGGTTCTATTGAAGTGTTGCCCAGGTTGCGTTTAATCAAGGTTTATAAACCATCTGTATGATTTTAATATTGCTTTCCTTGGTCTATCCTCCAATTCAAGCCCTTGTTGCACAGATGATATATATATGGGAGTTCAGATATCAACCCTGAGAGAAATTATCATCGAGCAGTTCCGACTTGATCCTACTCAGCAGGAAGCCAATGCTTGGGGAACAAACCACCTCCTCCACGTTCCTCTCGTAAGGCTCAGCCTCAAGATATATATACCAGGTGAACATTAGTGAATTTGAACCTTTGAGCCTTAAGTTAACAGTTGAACTCATTACTTATTCTAACGAAACCTTTGTTAGGATTAATCGTACCTCGTTGCTATGCGCTAGCTACGCTACTACCTCTGCTTGGATCACCCATGGTCTGATGCAGCTCCTTACGGGTCTCCTCTACGCCGTGTCAACCTACTCTTCTGATGATCCACGCGGAGAGTACCTACTCCTCCAGCCCGAGCATCGTAAACCTGTAGTGCTCCACCTGGTTCATGTTCACACCTTCACGACCTCCTCCTAGCAGCGGACCATAAACTGTACCTCATCTACCTCTCATGTACCTCCCAGCCTCTACTGGATAAGACTGATCCTAGGCTCAACCTGTGGATCATTGATAGGTACTAATTAGATTTATATGCGTCCCTGTATCAGTGTGAATAAACTGTTACTTAAGCAAAGGATCTGAAGATACACTAAAAGAGCCAATATTCAACTCATCATTTTTAGTCTTGTTCCTGATACTTACCTGACTGCAGAGCTAGCCATCCTACCTCATAATCAACTCGCGAAGCATAGAGATCTACTACTGCTACAAACCCCTTGGCCAGTTCAACTTTGTAAGTTCTTTTATTTATTATTTATAAACGCAAATCCTGGCAACGTTAAATGGTTTATATTGTAAACTCTTTTATTATTTTACAAGTTTAAGCAATATATTTAGATTATTATACTAGTCGGGACTGATTATATTGTTCTTTCAGTTCACGACTAGAGCTGTATGAATACACCTATCCTGAAATACATGCTTGAAAAGACTGTCCGTGCATTAAAGAGGTGCCCCAGGGTATTTTGGATGCTCGTCCATTATGTTTGTATGCGTTCTACCTGCTCCACCTGGGTATGTAACCTACCCCCAGTTGGGCCTAGAGCACAATCTGTAAAACCTATATCTAAAGCCCTATTTAGGAAGTGACAAGGAGTGACAAACCCAGTGCTCACATAAACCTTGAAGATGATTTAGAGTCAATTTAAATCTAATATAAACTATTAAAGGAGTTAACCTTCGGAGATAAGGGGATCCGGTTAAATAAACAGTCTTGTCAAGGAACATACCCTCGTTGGACGGTGCTCCACCCACTCAGTCGATGCACCAAATGTAAGCACTCTTTTTAATATATTCGTGTGGTTGATTGATTGTAAAATAATGATTAGTTTATGGTATTGGTTTAACAATTGTTAAATTATGTGGAGCTGATTAATATTGTGATTTATTTTTTCAGTTTCAACCGCAAGACGTGCTTTCCCTGTTCCTAGACTACAAATGAACTGTGGATATTTACAGGAACAAGCGCGTGAGAAATGGGTATGACGACTGAGCCTGCGTCTGGCATTTGGCGCATGGACCTAATTGAAAATTAGGTGAGAAATGCACATTATCCATTCCCCAAACTTAAAATGAATATACTAGTGTGAAGTGAGGTCTTACAGCTTGTACCATGTTAAAATTTAAACCTAAAAAGTTGTCTTTAAATTAACGAAATTTACTCTTTGTAAATAATAATTAAAAGATTCATTATTTTACTACTAAAAAGAAATATGAATATTTATCAATTTGTTATTAACTAACCCCCCCCCCCCTCAGGAGTTTAAACTCAAAAAGAAAAGTTGTTGAAAAATTTCTTTTGTTTAATTTGAAATATTAACTTTTATTTAATGAATGTAATGTAATGTAGTACAATCATTATTTTAAAACAAAATTGCAGGGATTGTTCTTTGGCCAACGCAATCCCACTCATCAGCACTACCCCTTTTTTATAAACATCTTATTCAAATAAGAAAAGACAAGTTTTCATAAGTTGTGATTGCCGATCAGAAGCAAGTTTTTATGAAGTTAAGGTAGGTTTACTACCCAAGGCGGAAAAAATTTCAAAATACATTTGAAGGGTATTAGAAGTTCCCTAAGGAAACTGAATTTGTTGATATTGAAACAATTAAGAGGCAAAAACTGATTTTTTAGACCATAGACCAAAATTGGCCAAGTCCCAAAAAATCAGTATTTTGGCCTTATATTAAACAATTTTGAAAATATCAAAACAAAGACAGTTGTATAGTAGTCACCAGCTTCAGGTGTATGATACCAAGATCAACAAGTTTTAAAGAATCTTTTTTGATTTTTCTGAATATCAGTTGCTTTAACATCTTTTAGATCTATGTACCTTAAGTTCTTAAAGCCAAGATCGATCACTTAAGAAATATAAATAGAAAAAAATCAGTGTTCACCCATACCTTGATTTTCTGTACTTTTCTCCTTTACATCTTCTTCCACTACACTAATGGTACATGAATCCTCTACAGTAGAGATTTCTTCATCCATAATTTCTTCCATTCTTTCTGAAATGTAGACATTAGTGACATGAGCGTCATTTTCAGCACATAAATTCAAACCCCGACTAACTATCTGACTATCTATGCTAGACCTTTCATATTTTTTTCTGCAAATGCATAAAGTTTCAAATTTTGTTTGTCAGGCATAGATGGTACCTGGATCAAAAATTTTTCAGTTTCACCCAGGAAAGAATGTCAGATTCACAAAATTCCAATAGGAAA